GGGGGGCGTCCAGAAGTAATGGCTCTGCCAAGCCCTGAGCGTCCCTCAAGTAAAGCACAGCGCAGTCCACCGTGTGGTTTTAGTGCGGTAAGCCCAGCGGTCGCAATGTCAGCGGCCGCACCCGATCGCCATTAGGGGGGCAGTCCCACATAACCCGGGCCACTTAATGTAAACTCCCTTCCCGGAGGGGGGCCCGGGTATCCATAAAGGATTTCCACACGTAAAAAAAAAAAAAGGTGAAACGCGCAAACGAGATGACGAATACACAAACACGCGAATAACGCTAGCTATGACAACAATGATGATGATGACGATGATGACGATGATGATCGCGCAGACGCAAAACCGCCCATCTCTGTGTATGCATTGTCGTTTACTCGATTCTCGTATCAACAATTCCTTCTTCTGAGTTCTGTCAGAACGCATCTTCTAGAACCCCAGATCGTATCAAACATGCGGTATTGAATGTGATATTCGTGGATGCATTTCGAGTCTCAGTTGCATCGACGAGTATCCGGATCGGGTTAATCTAAACTAGAGATTCGTTGTCTTTTTGTAAATATTCACAATTCTATCTACGTGACGAAGTACAAGAGAAGGACATTTATTTAACTCTAGGACCACGTTTCGTGAGTTTTTGAGAACCAGCGAAAATTTCAAGTCGCTCTAGCACTTGCGGGAAATACTTCTCGTTTGAACATTTGTACTTTGTAGCTTGACCGATTTCAATTTACATAATCGCATTCGTATTCTCTTGGAAAAGTTCGTCGAAAAATATACATATACTTTCATCACAGCTACGTGTAAAAATATCTGTCCCAGGGTAGTTTCACAAAGATTGCGTGGTCTTAGAGTTAATCAAAACACTAAGAGATCGTAAATGACGGTTGATTGTCCTAATCGCACCATTACTTACCGAAGATTTGCGTGGGATAAAAACAATACATGTAATGGGAAAAAGATGTATAATTGTTGACAGCTGATCATGCAAAATTTCCAATGAATATGTTCAGATTTATTTTTGATGTGTTACAATGCCAACGATTTTTGATAATCGTTTTTAAACTCGTATCGCGCGCTATAACAGCTGACATTGTTATTATTATCAACACCAAACAATGTGCGGAATACTGTGTAAAAATATCGAGATTGCTCTTTAAAACTATCTTATTTTCCAGCTAGGACGTAATTCTTATGTTCTCTAGAAACGAACGAAGTTCACGTGGAAAAATACAAATCGAAGTAAGGCATACGAGTGGAAACGACTATCGAGTCTTATCTTGGTCGAAAATGTGTATACGATTAAAAGTTCTCCACTATAGTCATTGCACCGATTAAGGCCTTTCGAAATTTTTGTGCCTTTCTCTAAATTTCTAAAAGAAAAAAACAAGAGATACATTGTACAAAGTCTCTTACCTACTAGTGTATCAAACAACCTTTCTAAAAACGTATTGTTCACGATTAAACAACCACACACAGTGTAATTTCTATACTTACGAAGGCAATACAGAAAAGAGATTACACGTATCTAAAGGAGAGTTGATCGTAAATTCGCAAACAGAAAATTTCGTCTCGCGCATTTGCATTAAAAAAAAAGAGAAAAAGAAACGCAAAAGGGAAACTCGCAATAGGCTTACACGAAAGAAAAATATCAAAGTGAGTGTATAATATAGAAAAAGTTCTGTCTCATCGATCCTCGCAGCGCTTTCCTTTGCGCTTAAAAAAAGTCTTTTACTCATCACTGATAATAATACATCAGATACAAATCACCCATAGCAAATTATTCCTTGATAAAAATCCCCGACACTTTCCGATATTGTCGACCCGTCGATCTGCTTTCCAGGCTTCCAGTGGTTCATCCTCATATTTCCCACCGTTTATACCGAACCAACCCTCTCTCCTTCCCCTTTTCCAGTTAATTGACCTCGGCGTCGTCGCTGTAATCCATTTCGTAACTCTTCGTGGTCGACTTACAGGCACGAGTCTTTTGTCGTCTGGTGACCGTGGTGGTGCTGCTGCGCTCCTTCCTTGACTTTCGCGTTTTCCGCGGGGCTTCCGTCTCGGGTATCTTGAATACCACCGGTTGCGGCTCCTCCGACAGCTCGCACTCTACGTCCGGCTCCTGCATCATCTCGTCGTCGTCCGTCGTCGTTGGCGAGTCGCGGTTCAGCCAGCAGACGATCGCGTCCTTGTCGCCTATCAGGTCATCGGACCTAGCGTGCGGATGGTTGTGGATCGCGCTGCCGTCCGGACAATCCGGCCCGTCCAGCTGGCTGTTTAACCGCGTTCTGGGGTTGGCTAAGCTAGAAATCGCCGGGTCTGATTGACGGTCGGGGAGTGCACTCGTCGTGATCGGGAATACGATCGGGAGATTCTATCATGTGATGCCGAGATTTTGTTTATTTATATATATTTTTTTGCATTTCAATCGGCCAGCGATTCGGCGTGTTCGTGTTGGTGTTACGGGTCAGTGGCAGAATTTCGTCGTGCGGTTGACGACGGTTCGGTGTACACAGATTTCTTAAGCAACGGCAGCGGTTAGGGCGATGATCGGGCGATGGTTAGGTGCTCGGTGTTTGCCGTGCGTGGTTTTTGCGGTTGGCGATTTTTTGTTTGCATTTTGTTTCAGTTTTTGATTAGACGGTAAGACGGCGATGGCGACGGTGAGAGAGGGCGACGCGCGGCGTGCGGGAACGCGGATGGGACAGAACGAAAACAGAAAAAATCAAAGAACACGTAAAATCATTAGTGAGCGGCAATCTAGGGCGGGTCGATACAAGTTTTATGCGTGATCAATGAAAGCGAGAGCTCAGTAAAAAAAAAACGGCAACCGGGATGGAGGGTCAGTCCTCCCGCGTATTCCTCGCCCCTGATCGGACGAACCCGAACTCGTCCTCGTCGAACGGGAGGGGTCCGGGTCGCGGGCGCGCGCGAGGGCCCCTCGCGGCCGTGTACGGTTCCGCTCGGCGGTAATTGCGCGCGCAGTTAGGGCACCCCTGGAGGGTCACCCCGGGATGGCCGCACCCGTAGCAGAATGAGCCCTTCCGGGGTAGTCGGCACTGGGCATAGCGGTGGGGGCCGTGGCAGTTCCAACACGATTGGATATTCCACTCGCTCTGCTCCGCCGGTCGCGGCTCCTGCGGTTGACCACGCGCGACGCACGCCGGTCTCCCCGGGCTCGTCCGCCGCGGCGGAGGCCCCGCGGCGGTCTCGGAGGTCACGTGCGGCCCCTCCTCCGTCTGCGTCGTCGCTTCCATAGAAATCACCCCCGTCTGGGTGACCTCGTCCTGGAGGGTCACGCTCTCGGTAATTGTGACCCCCTCGGCCGTGTAGGGGGTCTGGAGGAGCTCGTTGCCCGTGTCCTCCAGGTCCACCCAGAAGGCCGGGTCGTTGGCGTTTATATAGGCCCAGATGGGCTCGTGGCGCCGGAGGAACCCCCTCCACAGCCGACGGATCGTCGGATCTCGGATTCTCGGCATCTAGGAGGGTGCGAAATATTGTTTGAGGTCCTGGATATGGGTCTTGCCCGCGGCTACCCCGTCCATCGTTTCCAACTCGTAAACGACGGGCGAGAGTACCCTTCTGATGCGGAAGGGCGGACCTGGAACTTTGGTGTCAGTTTCGCGGCTACGTTATTCACCGCGGACGAAAGCACATGGCTCCGGCGCAATACTAAGTCGGTAACGCGGTATCGTTGGGGTCGCCGGCGGTGGAGTTCCGCGTCGGGCGTCTATCCCCGTCGGAAACTGGGGCGTACTCGCGGGGACGGGCCCCCTGCGACGGAGGGGGGTGGCTCGCGGGGCCGGCCCACTTCCCCTCGCCTCCATGGCCGGGAGATATGCGCGAGGATTCGTGTCTCGCACGAAAATCAGCCAACAATTCGTCCGGAAGTCCGTCGTCGAAAGTAAGCGGTCTTCCCCCGACCGCGCGCGATTCAGGGTTATCGAGTGGAGAGGTGCGAATGTTCCCTCCCCTCCGGGCAGCTTCGTGTTGCATTAAGGTAGTTCGATCGCGACAGTAATGCTAAAAAGGTTATTCCAGACAGGAACCAGCACTCAATTATTACAATAATATATCTTGATGCAATATTGTTCTAAAGAATACACTTACTATTAATACATAATATAAAATAGATTCGAAAGATTATAGTTGATCTGACTTTAAGTTTTCCCGTGTAAAAAATCACTACAAACGAAAACTTTTGGAAATGTACAGTTCTGCAATTTAGAAGTGTTACGTATACCGATAGGTACACATACATTGCGAGACACAGCGTGAGTAACGTGGCAACGCTGTATTATTATAACCTAGCTATAACGTTTCCACCTGTTTAACGGCGTGACATATGTATAGTGTAAAAGTGTTGTCAGCGTGTAAGCTTTGATTATCAAAACGATTATCAAAATGTCAGAACAATTACGTTTTAAAGGAAGATTTATAAAAAAAAAGTTCTACAAAAGAAGTTGAAAGATATTGTATCGAGAAGTTCTGGGAAACACTTTTGTAAACTGACAGTGAGTGACGATTGTAAAGTAAATTACATTTGTCCCGGTAGACGTATTGTTGAATTAGATACTCTCGGCAAACTTTTAAAGTGTTGCTGTTGTAAAGAAACGCTTTCTTTAGAAAACATAGAAAATGAGAAGCGTGTAGGCCTCAATTCTATGTTAACAGTACGTTGTGACAAATGTTCTGTTAAAACTCTGGTTCCAACAGGCAAATCTCACTCAACAAATCAATCACATAAACACTCTGATGTGAACACAAAAGCTATTTTAGAAAATATGTTGATTATTATGTAATATTATTAATATAATATAAAATTTATCGATAGATTGTATATCAACACTTGTATAAATTCAGCCTCACACATTTATTTAATAGGTGCTGTATATGCTGGAATGGGTTGCACAGCGTTAAACAATCTGTTAGCTTGTGTGAATATTCCACCAATATCGTCAGCTTTATTTAAGCGATATGAGAGAGAAATTGGTCCAGCCATTGAAGAAAGTGCCAAAGAAAGTTGCAAACAAGCTGCAGAGCAGGAACGACAACTAGTAATAGACAATATTCAAAAATTGTGTAAAGACTTGTAAGTAATTTTTTTTGTTAAAGTGTATAATTTTAAGATCATCATATTAAGATAAAAATCATTAACTTTCAGATCCATTCATTCAATCGAGAAATGCCATGAGCAATATTTTCAGCAGTTTATCAATACTATATGCTACATACAAATAATTTTTTACATCGAAATCTCTTTAAGGATGTATCTGAGCTATTTCAAAATAGTACCACATTGATGAAACTTCGGGAAACACTTCCTTTGTTATCTGTAATATACTGAAAAAAATTTTAAGTAGATTTACTAAATCGTTAGAGAGTAATTATTATTTCAATTATGCCTGATTTTACATGTGTTCTTATGGGAAACGCAATTTTCTTGAATGAAATGAGTAATAAAGTATAGAAAAAATAGTACCAAAATTTTAATTTTTTTTATACATATAGACCATGGATTATTGGAACTTTGTGCAAAATTCGATTAGGTTTCACAACACGGTTTAGGAGAAATTAATTATTATTCATGACAATTTTGCGGTTTCTGTAATATGTCAATTACTGGACTGTAGAAGTGCGGCAACTTCGCAATCAGCTGAACGTGTCAAACGAATAACCTGCATTCTGGGCGTTTTCACTGCCAAAAGTTTTATTGTAAAAAGTTGTAAAATGGCAAATAAACCTAATAAAGTGCTGAAAAATGTGAAAAATAACTTTTTAAAAATAAATATATTATGTTAGTTATCATTTATATCAGTTATCACTAGGTTTACTGCACGTTTAGCGTAGATATGCCAGGTTTTCGAATTTGGGGGATTTTTGTCAATGATTGTATCTCAGATACATCCTTAAGTTGCTAGTAATAAATAACAATAATCAAGCTTTTTCGGATAATGTCGATTAAAAAGGTTGATTTTTAAATGATTTTTATATCTTAATATTAGTTTTAGTTCTTAGTATCTGAATATATTCTTTAATATTTAGCAGAAGTGTATTTTTAGAATACTTGATCATTTAATATCAATACTTATGAATTTATATTTTGTATACTTTTGTTATGTTACTTTAATAAATATATCACAAAAATATATATGATCGGGAACATTTTAATAATCTTAATAAAATTAATACTTTTTTACCTTGCTTTTATTACATTTTGCAGGCCACCAGAAATAGTCAATGAAATTTATCTCTTTATGAACATCCTTTCAAAATCCTCCAACTCCTCAAATCATGCTCCAAATAATACGTCAGTTCATACTCTCGAAAACTTTGATGCAGCTTTAGGGAATATTGTAAACATTATTGTGTCATATGATATGGGTTGGAGTAAACGAGGTAACGGAAGAAGTTATGATAGTTTAAACGGTTATGGAACGATCATCGGATTTTTAAGTGGCAAAATATTGGATTTCGCGACACGTAATCGCAAATGTAAAATGTGTGATAACGGTCGAGAAAAGAATGATCACGACTGTCGAAAAAACTTTAAAGGTAGTGCAAAGGCAATGGAGCCAGATGTTGGAGCTTTTTTAGTAAATAACAGCACTATTCTTCAAGAAGCTGCAGTTAGCATTCGTGTACTAATAGGTGATGAAGACAGTTCCACTATAGCTAACGTACGTCGAGGTAATAGTAAAAAAGTTTTCAAGTTAGCTGATATAAATCATTTGCGAAAACATTTTGTTAGTGATTTATATGAATTGCAAAAAACTCATAAAGAAATGCGAAACAAAGATACAATTCCTCACTTAAAAAAATGCTTCAGTTACGCTATTGGTCAAAATAAGGGTAAAATTTCTGAACTGGCAGCTGCTTTGCGTAGTATACCAGACCATGTTTTTGACCAACACAAAAATTGTGGAGATTGGTGTTCCCGAAAGCTGAACAGTAGGAAATCTAAAAAATTATTGCTAAAGGATGTTGAGCTCTATAATAAACTGATGAATATTTTTTCAAAATACGCAGATAATGCTGCTAAATTTGCAGTTGTTGCTTCGAGCCAAGCAAATGAAAGCGTAAATAACATGATGGCTCATAAAGCACCGAAAAATCGTTGTTACAGTCTCAGTGAATCAGCTGATTATCGCTTAGCAAGTGCAGTTTGCAGTAAAAATGATGGCGAAATTCATTTATTGAAGGTGAATGAAAAACTATGTGTTTCACCAGGCAAGCATACTGCAAGTTTTGCAAAAAATAAGGACAAAGTAAAATTACGACGAGCTTTAAAAGCTAAATTGCCAGCATCAAAATGTCGCAGAAATTTATTGGCTAACGAAAGGGAAAATTTAAGGAAAAAGACGGAAAGAACTGAAGGAATCAAATATAAATCCAATTGTGGCTTTGAAATTGACAGAAAAGAGTTAAATATTTCTTTGGACCCTCAGATTTTGAAGATACTTGAAATGACTCAAAACACTTTTGTAATACAAAATGAATTTACATTCGTGTATTTTGATTTAGAGACCTCAGGGTTTGAAAGGAATGCTGATATATTGCAAATAGCAGCGAAATTTGACGATTATACTTTCGACGTTTACGTAAAACCCACTCAAGAGATTAACGATTTGCATCAGAAGTGACAGGTTTAACCCAAAAAAATGATACATTATATTTACGTAATCAAAAAGTTAACTGTGTTACTATAAAGGAGGCTCTTTGTTCTTTGCAACAATTTTTGAATCTATCTATAAAGCCGTGCTTGATGGTTGCTCACAATGCATCATTTGATTCGGGT